TATATAAATGATACATGGCTAGTATGTAATAATACTCTTAATGAAAGTATAGCAAATTGGTTGGTTCCCAGAGCAAGCATAATCCTACAGTATATATGCAGATTGACATTCTGAACTGGTGCCGGTAATAGGTTACTGGTTATAATGCCCTTGATAATTTTATACTGTACTTAATATGCTTTATATATTGGTTGCACATATCTCTTTACATAAGAATAAAAGGAATATAATTTTAAGATATATGGCTGCCTCATACAACAAAAGAAACAAAAGACAATCATTTGTGTACATCATTCATCATATTGGCTGTACATAAAGTTGTTAACATGGATGTGTGCACTCCAAGAATATTTCAAAAATTTCTATATTCTTACATCTCAGGCAAAAACAAAGATCAAACAGTGCTCAGAAGAAGATTGTAGAAATCACTTCTAGGAAAGAAAGCCAATCTAGTTCATCAATAACAGTCAAATCAGACTCCGACTACAGTGAAAGTGGTCTTCAGTCAATCGCAACAGTATCTGGTGTAGACTGTGTCATTGAAGACCCCAACAAACCAGCCCAAAAGCCTTCAGTTCCACTGATAAAYATTCAGAATGAGAAATATTCACGGTGGCACTCAGAGAATGATGTGACAAGGATGTCGACCGAGAGTTCTTCTTCCAATGGGCCTTCAGAAAAGGGACAAACTGAGATTAACATGGGAAATAGGAATGAAATAATGAAAAAGAAAGAAAGAGAAAGAGAAGTGATCAGGAAACAAATGGCTCAGAGAAGAAAATCTGCCTCAGAAAAACCAGTGACAAAGGATAGAGTTGTTGAGATTAAAGTGAAGCATGTTGTTAAGGAAGAGAGTCATGTGTTGGTGAAGAAATCRGTACGACAAGTAAGGAGTGCTGGCTCATCCAGAACACCTGCGAATGAGGTAATGATTGTAATGTGTCTGTCCAGCCAGAACTGGGAATTGTCCAGTCAAATATTTTAATGTGTATGTCCAGCCAGAACTGGGACTTGTCATGTCAAATATTTGCTGAGCTGGTAATTTTGACCATAACGTTTAGCTAAAAATGAGGTAATTATTATGACTAAGCTAAAGCTAATTCTTGGCTTGTGATCTGTTGACCGGTGACTGATTGGCCAATATTTAAAGCCCTAGTGTCTATCCATCTATCACCTCAAACTGTAATTCTACTCTTCCCACCCATGTACCCATTTCTCCACTGCTTCCAAATCTATCTGTCCACTATGACAATGCTTCTGTTTGTCCATCCATTTATCTGCCTATCTATTTGCTGGTTTGTTCACCCATCTATAGTACTGTATCTGGAGCCTTTTTTATCCATCAATCAATCCATTCATTTAAACTTTTATACAGTATGTACTTCCATCTGTCAGTCCATCCATTTATATCTGCCCATCTATTTGTTGGTTTGTTCACCCATCTACCTGGACCCCTTTTTATCCATCATTCAATCCATTCATTTAAACTTTTATATGTTCTATTGATTGGGCCACCCATCTATCAATATATACAGTTGTATCCCACTGTGCAGTCATTCATCCACCCAATCCTTCTCACATCCTATGCATTTACATCCATCCATTTGTTCGTCTACCCATCTATTTGACCATCTGTAAGCATTCATTAGTTTATCTTAACAATGATCGATTTATTCTTTCTTTAATATCAAGGCCAAACCTGTAATCAGAAGTAGACCATTGCCCCAACCTCCAGTTACCAAGCCCAAAACATCAGTTAATGAAGCACCATTATCAAGAAGCCCCAGAGCAAGAAGACGCTACAAAATAGGCTCAAGATCACACTCAATAGAAGGGAAAAATAAAAATGAAGAAGAAGAAGATGATGATGATGACGATGACGATGATGATAAAAGTACTGCATCAGTTGATTCTAATAAAAGGTGCAGTCATGAGATATTTGTTTGTAAGATTTTTATTTGCTTTCTTCGTTCTTCCCTCTCTCTTCTCTCCCCTCCCTTCTCTCTCACTTCTCTACCTTGCTTATTTCCTCAGTTTTGTTTTAATTCTTTCCACCTTCCTATCTTTCTTTTTCCCTCCCTCCCTCCCTTCTTTGTATTTTGCTAATTCCTTTTCTTCATTCTTTCTCCCTTCTCTCCCTCCCTCCCCTAATTTCCTTGCTTGCTTCCTTCCTTGCTTGCTTGCTTGCTGGCTCCGTTGCTCTATTGCTACCTTCCTCCCTTGCTCCCTTCCTGCCTTTCTCCCTTGCTCTTTCCCTCCCTGCCCTCCTTAGTCACTTTGTTCTTTCATTTTTCCCTTCCTCCCTCTCTCACTTTCCTTTTCTTCCTTCCTTCTCTCCATCCATAAAGCTTAATTGCAACTTTTCCTTTCCTTTTGTGGTTTCAGTTCCCAATCTGTCAGTGATTCAAATAAGGTATATATGCTTTGTTACCTATTTTAGAAGGGTAGATTCGACATGAAAAGGTTTCATTACAGATTTTCTTTTTATTCATATTTCTTATTCATTCAACCATTTTTATGTCCTAGCTAACGGCAAGAGAAAGACGCCGCCTAAAACAAAGCCTATCTGGATCACCTATCCATCGCTCTTCAGATCCGTACAATACCCCACCTCTCCCCTCCCCCCTGGAAATACGAAATAGAAAGTCTCAAGAACGATCTAGTAAAGGTAAGAGACAATTCCGAATTAAAAAGGAATAAAAACTGGGCAGTTTTTGATTATAAAAAAGGGGCTGTAATCTTTTATTTCAAGGGATATCTTGTTAAATTTTATTTCTGTTCGCTTACAAGTCTATGTGACTGATTTAATGTGTCATGTCACAGTCTGCAACCTTAAGTTATTCTGAATTACCTTGGCTTAATTACCTTGGCTTAATAGTTTAAAAACTATTTTTAGATTATTTACGTTTATTGTATAAAAAGTGTTGTTGTTCGTCGTCATCTTTGTTGCTTCTGCTGCGGTCGTTGCTCCTGCTGCGGTCGTTGCTCCTGTTGCGGTCGTTGCTCCTGCTGCTGTTGTTACAAGTTGCTGCTGCTGCTGTTGTTGTTACAAGTTGCTGCTGCTGCTGCTGTTGTTGTTATAAGTTGCTGCTGCTGCTGCTGTTGTTGTTACAAGTTGCTGCAGCTGTTGTTGCTGTTGCTGCTGCTACTGTTGTTGCTGCTGTTGTTGTTGCTGACGTACCCTTGCTGCTGTTGTTGCAGTCGTTGTTACTACTGTTGTTGCAGTCTTTATTTCTCTTGTTGGTGGTGCTGTTGCTGCTGTTCTGCTGGTGTTTTTGCTGCGGCTTTTGCTGGTGTTTTTGCTGCTGTTGTTGCAGTCTTTATTTCTCTTGTTGGCGCTGCTGTTGCTGCTGCTACTGTTGTTGTTGGTCTTTTACATTAATGTCTTATGCAGTCAGGCATCATCTTTATACTATTCTACTGTTGTTTTTACTCAGAGACTCCACGATCCTCTGTTACTCCCAGCACGCCACAAGACTCTGTTGACGGTCCTCCCAGGAAAGCTAAACTACAGATAGAATCGGTAAGAAGAATCGAGAGACTGCTCACTTCCCATCCTGTATCTTGTACTAACCACAAAGTAAACCCGTGTATTTCAAATTTATTGAAACTAATAGCTTAATACCTACTTGTATAGGAATCTTCAGAGGATGAAAGTAATGGCTCCGATCTCGAAGAGATTAGTATGGATGAGCCTGT